CCTGGGGTCCCGCGCGCCGGCCGTGCTGATTGGCTGCTAGGGCTTCATTCATGAGCCCCCCTACACGGTCCGCGTACACATTCACGCCCCGGGGGCGCGGCCGCCACGTGGGGAGTGGCGCGGGGGTGGCACCGGGACCGCACCCCCCTCTGGTTCCCGCTGCGTGGGCCCGGCTTTCCCCGCAGCGCGGGAGCCTCGGAACCCAGTCGGTCCCACGTTCCACACAACCTGAAAATCCGCCCGCATCCCAGTAGGGCGGGGGGATTGCAGGCTCCGGGAGGCGCTCCGGCTGCGAGCAGAGACTCAGCCCGGCACTCCTCCCTGCGCTGCGCCGCTGCCTGCGGGCCAGGATCCCGTGGGCTGCATCGAGAGCGAGACGGCGTGGCTTCCCGGCTCGGTACCGCGCGGCTGCTCACCTCCGCGGCCTCACCTCCTGCGGCTTCCAGGTCGCACCGTGCGCTCCTCTTCGCGCCGCTCCCACGGTCTCTGTTTTCCCCCCTTCTCTTTTTAGACTCAACGTCACAACGTCAACTGCCCTAAAAGTGCAGCAGGCACAGACAGAGTCGGATCGGTTCGGGCTTCACGCCTTTCGCCGGCTCTCTTTCCTTCTCCTGGGCACCGAGGCCAGGTGAGTACCGAGTGGGCGGTGCTGCGCCAGCAAGGACGGCAGGCGGGCGGCAGAGGCTCTACGCGGATGTGCGAGCTCCTGTAACCAGCTGTGCTCCGGGGTTCTGGAATGGAGAGGACCTCGAGGTGGAGACTGGTTCCGGAGAAAGCGCTACCAGTGGGTGGGGAATGGCCACTGGGCCCTGTCCTGCGCTGCTGAAGCCGTTTCGTGATGTTTCTTTCCTCATAGCTTGAACCGGTTGTCGGTCATTAGCTCTGGTTATGATGGGGTCATACAGGCGGGAAACTTGCAGGAGAGCATGTGGGACTGACTCAGGGAAGAGCAGTTCAGAAATCCAATGTGTAGGCTGGCAGCTGTCCAGCCTTCCGTGGAGCCAACTCGGACTTGTCTGGCAGGGAATTGAGGAGTCCTTGTTGGAGAAGTGGACAGTTGAACGCCAATCTCTTCATCCCTGCCGATGTTTGGAGTCTCTCCTAAGGAACCTGCGTGAGCAGGGCCTCAGCTGTTTGTGCTTCCTTGTCCTACATGGCTCACCACTTCTGCCTGTTTCTGCGCTGGGTTTCGGTCCCCTGCCAGACCCCCTTCTGCGCCTTCAGTCTTGCTTCAAGGTGATTCAGAGGTTCCAGGATGTAGAGCTGGGGACCTAGCTAAGTAAGGCCTTACTGGATAAGTCCACTCAGGACTGGGGGTGGGGGTGAAGCCTATGTATTTGAGGGAAGGATCCAAGGACTCTGAATGCAGCTGCTGTGGAGATGATCTCACTTGGAACAGAGTTGATAGCGATCAGAGTTACCCTGGTTAGAGACAGTGTCCTCTGAGCCCTGAAGGCCCCAAGTCCAGCCCCTGGCTAGCCCCCAAGGGAAGGAGTGGAAGAGGTCAGGGGTTGTCTGATTACTGGCCACAGTCCTGAACAGGCCACCTCCAGGTCCCATTCTAGCTGCAGGAGTTTGATGGATTCCTGTGTCTGAACCCAGATAGGAATGCTGGGTTTTCCTGGATCTTGGCCCAGGAAGTAGTCACCTTGAGGCAGCTCAAGTTCTTTTGGTCCACTTACCTGGCTAAGCCTTCTCCAGGACCTAAGAAGTGCAGAACCAAGGCCTGGATTCCTCCAGCGGAAGTCTCTAGTGCCGGCCCTAACCAGACCCATGTTCCTCTGAAAATTGGGCTCAAACTGGAGTTCCCCTGTCTCCCTGGTTAGAGTATTCTGACCTGTTCTCTCTGAATTTGGTTTTCGTTTTTGTAAATTGGGACTGACGGTATCTGATGGACAGTCCTCCGTCTCCCTAAGGTGAGCAGAGAATGGTATGAGACAGTGCCAGTGGCCCGCCCCTCCGCCAGGGCTTTTTCCTGTGCTCTTTCCTGTTGTTGGTGTCTCTTGGCTGGGCGACAAAGTCTGCTTCCTCATTTGTACAGTGGGCTGTTGGGTTTGGACCAGTTTACCTCCTTTGTTCTTCCAGCTTTGACAGTCTGAGATTCTGTACATCTACCTCTGGTCCTGCTGGAGGATGGGAAATGTCTGGGCAGCTGACAGATGTGATGCCATACAGATTTGGGGGTTACCCCTGAGGCATGGTGCTGTTCTGCCCATCGTTCGCCCTAAACCCCGGGAGAGCTAATGGCAGCATCCTCGGAGTGTAGAGAACAGAGCTGAGCCTTACTCACACCTCCTACTCGTTCTTCTCTACATTGCTGTAGGTTGCAAGAAGTGGCAGTTTTGGCCTTCAGGGCAAAGATGGCCTACAGCCTTTTCTCTGGCCATGCTTGTAGGCAGGTCAGGGCTAGCTGGAAGCCGTGTTCCCTGATCAGTAAAGCACTACCCAAGGTCCAGCTCGTGGCCCCGCTCTTCTCAATCCCTAGGCTAACATTTCTATAAGCAAACAGCCTGTGTGAATCACTTGCTTCTTGGAGCTACGGCTTCTCCAGCTTAAAGTGGGGACAGTGATGCCTGCATCTTAGGATTGCTCTGAGCCTCCAAGGACGGAACAAAGAATGTGATTTAAGTGTCTTTCTGGTACACAGTGGATGCTACCCCGGGGGTGAGCAGCAGCTTCATGAACCAGGAAAGGTAAAATTCTTAACTTTGTGTTGGGAATTTTAGATCCTCCACAGCGATATGGGTTTTGGGTCTCATTTTTCCTCAGAGTTAAGTTTCCCATGGAAATCTTGGAATCCTTTTCCCTCTTGTTCTTGCAGATTGTGTGAGGACCGTCATAGGCCCTGGCCGATACCTGTACTACCAGAATGGCCCCTATCTCTAGGACAGCGGTTTTAGACCTGAGTTGAGACCCTTTTGGGGGTCGAATGACCCTTTCACTGGGGTTGTCTAAGGTCATTGGAAGACATAGATAAAACATAGATATTACAATTCGTAACAGTAGCAAAATTATGAAGTTATGTAGTAGCAATGAAAATGATTTTATAGTTGGGGGTCACCATAAGTTGTATTAAAGGGTTATAGCACTGGGAAAGTTGAGAAGCCGTGTTCTGGGATCACCACCGTCACACACCCAGGGAGAACTTACCTTTATGACCACACTGCACAGACATGGTGTACACGTGGAAGTCAGGTACCTTCATGGCTGGTGCAGATGGGATAGCGAGGGCATGCCGGGAAATGTGCACTCTTACATATACTGAACATACAGATATGCAAGCCAACAAAGGGATACACATACTAATTCACCACAGGAACATAGTCTTGCTTCAGTAGGCGAAACATGCGGTTGCACAAAGTAATACCTAACAATAAATGTAGGCAATAAATGTGTCTAAACAGAGTCGATACAGAACACTCATGTAGACTGAAATGGCTCTTCCTTATCTGGCACGAAAAACATCTTGAGACCTGTGGGCTCCTGGGGTCACAAGCACAGTGACTCTTGACTGGCACACAGTATTGTTCACATAAACAGGTACACTTTGGTATCTGTTCGCACATGGAACTGGCCACAGACCCTCTCTTACCCGGGTGGACAGACACAAAGAGTTCTCCCCATCTCACAGTTTACACAGACATCCTTATCCACTCTCTGAATGAACCATCAGGTCTGCACAAGGGACCAGAAGGCAGGAAGGGGCTGTGCCCAGTCCAGTGTTTGGTCCCTGTGGTTTGTCGGAGATGTTAGCCCCGGGGAGATAGGAAAGCTCTCCTGTTTGTTACCTCCCTCCCCTCTTCTTGCCTGTGCTGGGCAGCTCCAAGCTAGGCTGCTGCCAGTCTCAGGCTCCCCTGTGGGGCCCCTGCCCAGCCAGCCCCCAGGCAGGACCTCCTCAGCTTTCCCAGAGTGCATAGCCTCCTCCAGGCTCTGGAGTGTGACCGAGCGCCTGCTCATTTGACACAGGTCACCGAGCCTCCAGCAGATGGGGCCCTCGCTGTGGGGGGCCTTTGAGCTGCAGGGCGGTTGGGGGTGGGTGTGGGTGTGGGGAGGGCTCTGTAGGGAGGAGTCAGAGCTGTGCAAGCTCCAGGCTGCAAAGCCTGGGGTCACAGACATAGACCTCCACGCAGGCTGCCACAGCTCCACTCTCGAGGCTGGCACCGTCAGTACCCTGGCCGCAATGCACTCACTGTTACAATTCAGTTCTATGTCCCTGGGAGGGCAACTTGTAAAGTGAATCTGGAGCACAAGTTCGGGGAGAAAGAAGTGCAGTCCTGCTTAGTGTCTCTTGGTGGCAGCTGGATCTGGCTGCTTTCCTCTTAGGTCTCTGAACCCCTGGAGCTTTCCTCTATTAGTCGGGAGGCTTGGAAGGGCAGGGGTGGGCTCAGCTGTAGCCGGAAGCCTTTGTGGTGTGGGGGCAGGCTCTAGAAGCGCCACCTGGAGCCCTTGCAAATCAGGGATTCCGAGGAAAGAGGCCTAGGGTCCACCTGCTGGGCTGCTGAAAGAGCCTTGTCTTAGGTTCTCCCAGCCGAGGACTTGGAGTCTTTGGGCTGACTGGGCTTGGGTAGGACTCACCGCCCACTTCCTCTCCCTTCTGCCACTTCTCATGCCCTAGATCTGTTGTACACGAGAGCAGGGCCTGGGAGCCAGGATCCTGGGTTTCATCTGCGCCTTGACTCAGGGCTTGTGGACCTTGAGCCAATCTCCGTATCCTGATCTCTGCAACCTTTGACCTCTCCATAGCTTCCTTTATAAACTGGGCAGGATGGGCTCTGATGGCGATTAGCAAGGTAGAGGGAGATCACCACCCAATGGAAGCTTGACCAGGGTACACGTGGCTTGATTGTGCTCTCTACTGATGGTCTGCGTGAGTCGGTGTGAGCAGGAACTGCTTGGTCCTCAGCTAAATTCTTTCTTCATTGTCAATTGTTGTCTGTGCGTGTGGTGTGAGTGTGTGTGTAGCTGTGTGCATGCTGCAACCTGGGTGAGAAGGTCAGAGAATAACTTTTCAGAAACAAGGGCTTTTACTTGCTGAGCCATCTTGTCGACCTTCTTTCCCCCAGCAGTTCTTGCTGAAGATATCAGGGCTGGAATCTTTTTTTTTTTTTGTTTGTTTGTTTGTTTTTGTTTTTGAGACAGAGTCTTGTATAGCTGGCTTTGAATTAGCTCTGCAGGCAAGGATTACTTGGAACTTCCCGTCCCCCTCTCAGTGTCCAGAGTGTTGCAATTACAGATGTGTGCCACCACATCTGTGGTGGGGGTCAAACCCAGGGCTTCATGCATGCTAGGCAAACACTACCCACTGAGCCACATTCCCACACTCGAATATGGTTTTGATTGGAAGCATTTGTCAGGGTGCTGGCTGTCGCAGATCCCTAGTCTCTGGAGGTGGGTGTGGGGGTGTCGGGGATCATTCTGTCCATATAGGTGGGCCCCAGCTAGGTGCGCACCATCACCCAAAGCCGCAAATCCCTCTTTTCTCTGAACTCTAGTCTTCTGTCCATCCTGAGCCCTCTCGAGCTTTAGGCTGAGAAGGACAGGGGTAGTAGGGGTGGTTCAGCTTCTGGCAGAGGAAACAGTGTCACTTGAGTCAGGGTTCCTGTCTCTGTTTGGTGCAGGGAAGGAGCC